TCTCCAGTAAACTTTGTCTAGTATTTAACTCATAGACAATGTCCTTATGGGAAGAAAACAAAAAAGATGTTCTTGAGAGTATCTAGAACACACAAGAACACTAAAATATTAGTTGTTATTAAAATGGTATAAACTTTCATCCATCTACTTGACAAAATTTACTAAGTATCTAATATGTGGGAAAGCCACAGTGCTAAAGGTATAAAGCAAACAGTAAGGCACAAGAGTGACAGCCTGAGAGCACGCCAGGAGGAAGAATGTGTGCTGTGTTCGCTTTTTTTATTTTGACATCTTGCATGGCTACCGCAGAACTCTTCTGTTTCATTCTACTGAAAATAGAGGTGACCATATTGCATCAGATTGCATTCTTATTGACCTAAATCTGGTGGGGATTTTGCTGTTGTTGTTAATTGTTTTTCAATGCTATTCTGCCTAGGAAGTAATTATGCTAGTATATTTATACTTCTGATATATATATATTACATATATATATTTACATATACACACATACATACATACATACATACATACATACAGTGGGCTGGAGAGATGGCTTACTGCTTAAGAACACTGTTCTCCCAGAGGTCCTGAGTTTAATTCCCATCAACCACATGGTGGTGGTTCACAACCATCTGTAATGAGATCTGATGTCCTATTCTGGCCTGCAGGCACACAGGCAGACAGAACACTGTATACATAATAAATAAATAATTTTTTAAAAGACTATAGAAAACCCAGAGATGAAGCTAGAAATCTGAATTTTTGTGGTGACATTTTGTTTATGATCTAACAAATAAAGCTTGCCTGAATATCAGAGTGCAAAGCTAGCCACACTAGTCAGTCATACTGACCAAGCAGTGGGGGCATACACCTTTAATTCTAGCAATCACACTAGTTAGCTATAGAAGCTGGGCAGTGGTGGTGCGTGCCTTTAATCCCAGCAAAGCAGGTGGAGAGAAGAGTCTGAGGGTTCAAGGAGACAGGGTTGCCCTTTCAGTCTGAGGCAGAGGTAAGAACTAGTGGCTCACTGTTCTGCTTCTCTGATCTTCATCTTTAACCCCAGTATCTGTCTCTTGGTTTTTATTACTCATACTATAAATTTTGCCTTTGAAAACTAATAGTCAGCTGCAAAAGCAGGGTATCTCTAGAAAAGATGTGGACAGTAAGCGCTGCCCTCAAACATACAAAGGACAGAGAGGTGGAGGCATCGCTGCTCTCACAGATGAGTTCTGAGGTCAAGTTCAAGGAAGAGAATGGTGCTGTGTGTGACCTTACCTAACTAGAGATAATAACACACCTAAGAGTAAATGCATCACAAGGAAAGGAGGTTAGAGAAGGAAACTGAGGTACGGTCCATCTCTAGACAGAGGTAGCACTCTCTAATGGAACCACATATAAGTAAAGGGGCAGAGCCCCAAAGAGGATCTGGCCCCCACTGACAAACCATCCTTCCTTAATCCACCACTTTAGGATCAGAAACCTGGGGGAACCAGGCACAAATGTCAAAAGGCATGTGATGAGGGATCCACAGACATGCTGGCTATACAGTTTAATCTTCATGAGCTTTCATCTCATGTCTTGTTTTCCTTTGGGAATGGGCTCCTTTAGTATCATTACTGGAACCCATGGTTGTTAGAGATTAGTGGATGGATACTCTGCAGTGGGAATACACTGAGTCTGTGCTACAATTTGGATATGGTTTGTCTTCACCCAGACTCATGTTGAAATTTTTATTTCCAGTGGTGGTGGTGTTAGGAGGAGTTACAGATGATCTTAACTGTTAACTTGTCTAGATTTGTAATTACCATGGAAACACATACAGTGTATATATGAAGATAATCCCAGAAAGCTTTAATTGAAGAGGGAAGACCTGCCCTAAATATAGATGGCACTGTCTCCTGGGCTGGGGTCTAGGGCTGAATACAGGGAAAGCAAGATGAGCAACAGCATTCATCTTCTGCATTACACAGTAAGTCATGTAGTCACATGCTTCCCCTCTTGTGATGGATGGTACCCTCAAACTGTGAGCCCAAATAAATCCTTTCTTTCTTAAGTGTTTATTATGTATTTTTACACAACCATGAGTAAGGTAACTGATATTAGAGGTAAGGCCTTTTACGGGTGACTGGAAGGGGTACTACCCTTGTGAATATATGGGTGCCATCTTATGGGATCTCTCTTGCTCAGGGGACTGTTAGAAAGGGAAGGTGGCACTCTGCTTGCTCTGTCACACATGCTTTCTCACATGTGGTAGTATCTTCTTTCCATTGTACTGTGGGTAGAAACCACAACAGACACAGTTGCTTGACTTTAGACTTCCGGCATCTTGAACTAGCAGGTCAAATAACCCTTTCTTTTCTGAATTACTGAATATCTGTTATAGCAACAGAAAACAAAGTTTAAGAGGTCTTGGATTTGCTTCTTCAATGTTGATGTAAAAGACTTATAGAGCAGTATACTCTCTGTACACAAGGCAGTGCAATATTACAGACCTGGAGTCTTAATACCTATAAAAGGGACCTGTGGAAGGAACATTACACCTCATGTATTTTCTCCCTTAGACTCTTAACTAAACACTGGCTAGACTTCTACAGTCAGTACATCATAATTCTAGTTGGCACAAAATCAGTAAATATATGAGCTATGTGAATTAGTTTAATTATTTAAAAACAGCTTTATTTTAAGTGTGCATTTGTGTGCTGTGCTCTACAGAAAGCATACATTTTCCATGTCCTCCAAACATTAAATTTATACAAGAAAACTCTGGATTTTATTGCCTTTACTTTGGGTAAGCTACAAGAAAGGGCAAATTTATATCTTTAAATCTAAACAGGGTAGGGTAAAGTTAAAGAATTTTACTCAAGAAATCAGGAAGAAAAACAACTTATAAAAAATCTTTTACAAAGTTGGGCTGTGGTGGCACAAGTTTTAATCTCAGCACTCAGGAGGCAGAGGCAGGTGGATCTCTGTGAGTTTGAGACCAGCCTGGTCTACAGAGTAAGTTCCAGGACAATCAGAGCTACACAGAGAAACTCTGTCATGGGGGAGGGGAAATACATTTAAAACGGAACTTTTACACTAATCTAACTGGTTTACTGTGAACTATGCCACATGTACTCTGTTCTTTTATACAGAAAGATGAAATACTGTAATCCTGTCAGTATAGGTTTGTATGCATAACCTAGTATATATCAACTGAGAAAATGTCTAAAATATATACAGCAAAAATGTTGATACATTTGCTTTCAGGTGGTAAGATTAAAGGCAATGTCTGTTTTCCATATTTTTCTACAGTTTACTAAATCTTCTGTAATGAATATAACCATTTGTTTAGAAAAATAAGCTATTTAAGATATCTAATTACTTAACATTTATTATTTAGTATAATGCTAATCAAAATGTCTGACACAAATTTAAAAAAGGAAAAGATTTAAAGGAGGTCTGTGGGGAGCTGGAGATAGCTCAGCACTTTAGAGCACTTGAGAGGACACAGATACTATTCCCAGTATCCACGTGGCAGCTCACAACCATATGTAACTCCAGTTCCAGGGAATTTGATGCCTTCTTCTGATATCTGTGGTCACCAGGCACATGAGTAATGCACATACTTACATACAGGTAAAACACTCACATAAGTAAAATAAAATAAATGTAAAAAAAGTTTTTAAAAAAGGTTCACCTGGGAGAGTAAACATTTTATAGAATAGGTAATGAATAGTCTTTAAACAACGAAAGAGAACATTCTTACTTTACAAGGTGACTTAATGTAAAGCTTCATTTGTCAACATATAATTCAAATATGCACCTTCAATAAAATACCTGTGGATTTACAACACAGACACAGCCTACACTGCCTACCACTTAGACCATAAGACAGCTGAGTACAGAACTCGGTTGCATCTGACTGATCCTAAAACAGACAGACAACAGGCAGAAATCTCCTGAGGAGCTCACAGCATAACCTGCTTTTTGGAACACAGCAGCCATGAAATAAGGTGGGAAGATGCCCCTCCCCTCCCCAGCAGCATTCCAAGTCATGGACCATGCCGGAAAGACAGAACAAAAAGCCAGCAATGTGAGGCAAATGACTGTCACACAATCACCACCAAAAAACTTGTATCATCACATAACAATATGACAGCCAAATCAAAGAGTTATTTTCAAAATGATAGCTCAGGCCACTTATTTCATCTTGGGCTCTCAGCTAAAAATAATTTCAGGAAATGATTAACAGATTTGAATGACATAATTTAGTACCAGGTTTTGGCAAGGGCTCAAGGAAGCAAGTACTCTCATGAACTGGTGGGAACAAATTGGCATATTATTTCTGGCGGGTAATTTGGCTAAATGTGTTGAAAGTCGTTAAAATGTTTATACTCTTTGACTCACTAAGTCAACGTCTAGGAATTTTTCCTGAAGAAATAATCAGAGGCATAAAAAAATTACTTTTAATATTCTAAGACCAGAAAGAACATAAACATCTAGTTATACACACATGGATGGCAATAACAGTGGACTAGTGAATATAAAAGTTACATGATAAATCCTAGCTGGCATTTAAAACAACACTTAAAAGAGCCAATGTTGAGAATATGCTCAGAAAGCATTAAATGCATCAACAAGTCAATCAATGTATACAGGATGATTCTAAATTTTATTTTATCCTATTTTTGTGTGGTGCTAAGAATCAAATCTAAAGCCTCAAGGATGCTATGAAAGTGTCTACCACTGAGATGCATCCCATCCCTGGTATTCTTCACAACTACATCATAACATTTGATATTATTCACTATATTTACATTAATCTTTAAACTATCTGTACAGAAATCTTAGTGTTTTTCTTTGGAATCTCCAGTGTCAACCTGTCTAAATTATAATAGATCTTCAAACTGGAATGCTTAATTCACAAATACAACTGAACAATTGATTCTCTTTGCTCTGTGATTTTAAGGTCTTGAAGAGAAATGTCAACAAATACTAGTTGAGAGCCCTCTCCTTACCTTTGCTAGCAGGCTGGAAACATGTTTAATTTCACCATTTGCCTTTAGCAATTCTTGTCTGAGCTCCGTGCAAGACAGCTGCAATTGATCTTTCTCAGCTCGAGCCACTTTCAGCATTTCCTGAACCTCGAAGTTCTCTGCTGTCTGCCCCATGGTACTGCTGGCCTCTACGGCCTTTTGCTTATCAGCCTCCAAATGAGCCTTCAAGGACCCATTCTCCATTTTCAAGCCTTCCAAGGTAACTCTACATTCCTCCAAAGTTTTGGCCATCACACTATTATTACACCGTTCATGTTCTAGGAACCCATTCAGCTTTTCATTTTCTTCCTTCAGGTGCTTAATCGTGTCTATAGCGCCTTGGTTTTCTTCCTCAACCTTCCTTAGGCTACAGGTCAACTGCTGCTGAATGTTGAGCAGCTTCTCTCTTTCAAAGCGGCTCTTCTCAAGGATATCTGTGCACTTCTGCTCCAGCTCAAGGATTTTTCCTCCTTGGGCACTAGGCTCCTCATTCTTCACTCGTTCTTGTAAAAGGTTGATCAGTTTCTCATTTTCCTGACTCAGCTGTTCTGCCCTCTCCCGGTGCTGGTGGAAGGAGGTCTCTAAAATGGTCTTCTCATCCACCAGCTTCTCATTCTCGGCTGTCAGTTCCTGCACCATCTGCTGCTGGTCTGATAATTCCTGCAAAGTAGCCTGCAGCTCTTCAGCAGTGCTGTGCTGATTCTCCTCCATCTTCTGTATCTTCTCAGTTAGAGATGCCAAGGACAGCTCACTTGCATTGTTTGGGGAGCTCCCAGTAGGGGAGCACTTGGAGTCCTTAAAAGAGTTGCTGGTGGCCGACAGGGGCCGGGATGGGGTGTCTGCAGTGATATGCTCAAAATCTGAGGCATCTGGTGACAGAGAGGCTTTAGTGACATCACTGCTTGAAGACCCCGATGTCCGCAATGCATTTCCATGTGTGCTTCTTCTATACTCATCCGTTTCACTGGACAACTCATTTCCAACTGGGCTTCCAAAGCTGGACTCTCGGGTTATGGATGCTGGGCAGCTGCTGTCACCAGTGTGACTTGCTGCCCCTTCTGAATTTGGTGACTGCTGAAGGTAAGTCAATTTCTCCTTCAAGGCCCGGTTTTCTTCCTCTAGGTCAGCAAGCTCTTTCTGAAAGATTTTATTCTTCTCCTCCAGGGTTCTTAGCAAAGGTTCTGTGTCACCTACTGGGGTTGATGTTCCCTCTGCACTCGGGTCTAATGCCTTGGTGTCCTCAGTGCTCAGGGCCCACCTTTCTTTACATTTTTTCAGTTCACTTCGAAGCCTGTTGATTTCACTGTCTTTGGTTTTAGCTTCTGCCAGAAGTTCCCGAACCTGGGACTCAAGCATAGACTTCTCTGTGTCCTCAAGTTCTTGCTTAGGTTTTGCAGAGGTGGTCTTCAGGTGCTTGGTAGGAGTGGGAGTGCAGGAGGAAGTTGGACTAGAGCCCAACTTCTTTGAGCTGGAGGGACCACGTGGCACAGACCTCTCTCGTGAGACAGTTACTGAGAGTTCCCGTGGAGCTGGAATGCCTGTCCGTTTGGTTGTTGGAACAGCCCCTAAAGACATAAGATGAAGAAAAGAATTGAAAAAAAAAACAAAAAGAAAAAGAAAAAAGAAAAGCAAGCATTTTCAATGAAACTCAAATGTCTTCAAAACATAGCACAGAGGATGGTATGATTGTCACCGTTCATCCAATTCTTCCTCCTCTAGGTAGTTACTCTGTCTTGAATAGGGTTTCTGTATCTCTCCCCATGGGCTTGTACTAAGGAAAGCAGACTTAGCCTAAGCAATCCAGAGCAATCCTATCCTCACCACAGTTGGTGGTTCAAAGGAGAAGTGCACAGCTCAATTAAGATCTATGGACACAAGCAGGAACCCAAAGCTGCCACACTGGCAGAGACTCGGAGCAGAGAACTGCTTAGCCCTGAACAGAGAAGCTTCCTCTTGCAGTAGACGGTAATTAACAAAGAGATCCACAACTGGACAATGTGCAGAGAGTGAGCAACTTTGGAGAAGTCATCACTAAATGGGAAGTCTTTACCAAGCCCCTCCCTTCAAGGCTAAGGGATCTATACAGAAGAGGAGGTGGAAAGATTTTAAGAGCCAGAAGTGGTGGATGACAGACATATGATCTCACAGATTGACAGTATACATAAGTTCTACACATATTCAAACCAGACGAAATCCCAGCACTGAAAGGGTCAAGTGGGTACAGAGTCCCACCCTTAACCAAGAAACCATTTGCAATTGATACCTGTTGGGGAAGAACAAATTAGCTTCCTCCAACACAATGACACGGGGCATATCAATCACACTCCAGGACAAGCTCCATGACCATGAACTCCATGCAGTTTTTCATGTACATTTTTTTTGTCTTATTGATTATTTTTGTTTGTTTGCTTGATTTCCATTTTTTGGTTTTTTTTTGTTTTTTTGTTTGTTTTTGTTTTTAAGAGGGAACTTAAAGGAACTTGGGAGAGAAAAGAGTATGATCAAAATATACTATATGAAAAATATTCTTTTTTTCTGCATGTATTTCTTTATTTTTGTTTTTATTTATTTTTTCTTATTTTACAGATCAATCCCAGTTCCTTCTCCCTCCCTCCTTCCCATGCTCCCTGACCACCCTCCCATCCCATCCCCCCCCACTCCACATGTAAGGTGATGCCTTCCAGGAGGGGTCATCTAAATCTGTCAAGTCATTTGGAGTAGGGACTAAGCCCTCCCTCCTGCCTCTAGGTCAAGGGAGTAACCCTCCATGGGGAATGTGCTCCGGATACAATCTGGTTCCACTGTCAGAGGTCCCTTAGACTGCCCAGGCCTTCTAACTGAGACCCACATTCAGGGAGTCTGAGTCAGTCCAATGCTGGCTTTCCAGCTATCACTCTGGGGGGGGGGGGTCCATTAGCTCCCCCTTGTTCGGATCAGCTGTCTCTGTAGTTTTCCATAGCCTGGTCTTGTCCCCATTTTCTTATCACTTCTCCCTCTCTGCATCTGGATTCCAGTTCGGCTCAGTGTTTAGCTGTGGGTGTCTGCTTCTGTTTCCATCAGCTACTAGATGAGGGCTCTATGATGGTAGATAAGTTAGTCATCAATCTCATTACTATGGAAGGGCATTTAAGGTGGCCTTTCCACTGTTGCTCAGATTGTTAGTTAGAATGTCCAGAGACCTACAAGGATGACTCCAACTGACAATCTGAAAAATATTCTTATATAAAAAATTTAGAAGATCTATAAACACTAGAATAAAGATTTTTTTAAAGTGGGTGCAGGGAGAGAATGGTAAATACCACTAGCCATCATGAGAAAAGTACATGGTGTGGGAAGGGTTGGCAACCACTCTGCCTCCTGTGAGAAGGGTAGGACTCTGTGGTACAGAAAGAAAGAAACCAAATTCTTAAGGGCATAAATCAACCCTGAAGCTTGGCCTATTGTTTATCTTTCAGTTACAGCAGCTGGTTTACATGTTTCCTATAAGTCTCTGAATTAGGCTCTCTATAACTTGCAGCTTAATACAGCTACACAGATAATGTTAGGAGCTAAATAAAATGGCATTTCAATTGAATGCAACCTTGAGGTAGGAAGAGGGGCTTGGGGATATAGCTGAGTAGTAACACACTTGCCTAGCATGCCCAAGGCCCTGTATATTTCATCTTCATTGAGGAAGAGAAGGTGGGGGAAGGGAGGGCTCTAACAAGGAATTAGAAACAGAATTGGCATTTGGGAGGCAGAGACAGGCATATGTCTGAGTTTGAGGTCAGCCTGGTTTACAAAGAGAGCTCTAGGACAGCCAGGGCAATGCAGAGAAACCTAGTATCAAAGAAGAAAAAAGAAAAATAAAACAGAATTGGTGTGCTCCTTTGTATTTGTAGAAAACAAGAACAAATGGGATAAAGATGTGGAGTAGCTACAAATTTCAAAAAGGAGATTAATAAAACAGAAATGAGACAGAATTTAGAAAAACATTATGAGAAATGTAAATTCTAGGAGTTTTTGTTTTTTTGTTTCTTTTTTCATCTTATTACATCAAGGAGAATGCCAATAATATCTAGGAGTAAAAACAGCATTCACATAGGGATCACAAGGAAATGAAGACTTTGGATTTAAACTAACAACTGCAAAGACCTCTGGAGTCTGGGCTAACTGCTATAGCCTAGTCTCTAATCAGGTAAGATCCCAGGTAAGACCCATCTCTCCCTCTCTGCAGTGTAGGAAGGGATGTAGAATGCACCCTTGTGGTCACAATCTAGTGTTAAGACACTCAGAGTCCAGCCTGGCCTAAACTGCCAAAAGAGGGAGCAGCAGCTAATCTCAACGCAGCAATGATGATGGGCAGCAAATGGCAGCCATTGCTAAGTCCTGCAGAAATTATTATATTATTATAAAACAAACAAACAAAAACTAATTCTTTAACCTTTAAATTATGTTAGAGCTAGAGAGACAGATAAACACTTAGTGCTCATGCAAAGGACCCAGGTCAGTTCTTAGCACCCACATGGTGGCTCAGAATTGTCTGTAACTCCAGTACCAGGGGATCTAACACCTTCTTCTAACTTCTGTAGGCAGGTCACTAGGCCCTCATGTGATGCACATTCATGAACATAAAATAAATAAATGTAAAATATACTCTTCAGACACTGAGTACTGTGGCAGACATCTAAAACTTGTACTCATCTAGTTAATTTGCTTACATCACACTAAATTACTCAATAAAGAAAAGGTTTAATTATTCTTATAAAATGAAGATTGCATCCACTCAGCAATAAAATGTTTTTGTAACACCAATCCTCTAGAATGAGGTCATCTTGAAGAGGACCATGCTAAAGACTGGAAGATCACTGATGTTTCAGAGTAACTGTGTCCATCCAACAGGCAAATGTGCAGATCTAGGATTATCACAACAGTATCTGCCATTCCTCAAATATCACATAAATGAGGCTCCTCTTCCTTCCTCCCCGCATTCTCTTTCCTCCTTTAGTCATTTGTTGCTTTTTCTTCTTTTTGATGCCAAAGTTTAGTCTGTTCTCCTTATAATTATTACCTGTGCCTTGTATAAACCACTCAGAATTTAACAGCAAACCAAAGTTTATTTATGAAATACACCCAGTATGTTGTGAAACATAAACTGCTAATATTTGTTGCATCTGTTCCTTTTTCTTTATTAAAACTTCACAGCTCTTTCCTCTAAGGCTTTCTGTACCTCCGTATTCTCTCCATTCTGCCTAAGGGCCTTCTAATTTTATTTAAAATCTCCCTCCTCTTCTCTTTCTGAAACTGTCCAACTAGCCAGTGACTCCTATCAACAGTTTCAGAAGTTCTTTTCCTTTTGTTTTGTTTTGTTCCAAATCTAGAATGTTTTATGTACATGTCTGAGGTCTCAGGTCTTCCTGACTCCAGCCTCCCATACCTTTGGGACAAACTAAACAGTCAGTTAAGTATCTCACCTGTATTTCTGTACCAGAATCTGTGTTTGGTTTTGGTTTTATTTTGTTTTGTTTTGCCTTGTTTTCAGGTAGAGTCTCACTATGCAGTTCTGGCTGGCCTAGAGCTCTCTATGTGGACCAAGCTAGCCCCAAACTCTTAGGAGATCAGTCTGTTTCTGCCTCCCCAGTGTTAGGATTAAAGGTATGTGACGCCATGTCCTGCCAGAATCTGTTTCTTAGACAAGTCTTTGCCAACAGCAGACTTCTTGTCCTGACCACTGTAATCAACCTCATTCACTTCTCCTTGACTCTCAACACACCCAGGAAACTCTAGTCCGTATCTTTTGGAACTGGTTTGTGGAAGAAATGTGGAAGGGTTTGGAATGGGAGGCTAATGAGGAACTCTAGAATCCAGTCAGTGATTAGTGGGTGATTTAAATGGACATTTAGATGACCAATATCAAAAAAGAAATGCATACAGTAAACTGTTTCAGAGGTTTCAGAGGGGAACATGGATTTTGTCAGGACCTGGCCTAGAAACCACTAGTGTTCCATCCGGCAAGGATTCTGGCTGCATCCTGCCTGAGTCCCGAAAACTGGAGTAAAACTGAATTCAAAATTTATGGATTAATTTGTTTTGTGGGAGATATTTCAAGAGAGCATAGCACTCAGACTGTAGCATAGCTACTGCTCACTGCTGTCATAGCTAAATGGGCCCAAACACTTCTCTAGGCAGTCATTTTTCACCAAGGTATCCAGATTTATATTGAATAGAAAGTAAAGAGGAAAGGAGTTAAAGTTCAGGACAGGGAGGAAATGGACAAGGGGGATACAGTTGTTTAAGACAAAGATCAGTGACATTAAGAAGAAGCTTCTGGCTTTGTGGTGGGATAAAAGGGTAGGAGCCTGACCTCACCAATTGAGAGCTCTAGGGTATAATGTAAACTTCATTTACTGAGATTCCAGAAAGTTGTTGAGGCAGGTGATGTGCAACAGGGTAAATTCCCTCCATGGAGCTCCTGAACAGGGTGTAAGTGAGACTGTGAATGTGTGGCCCAAGTCACAAAAGTTGAGAAATTCCAGGGTGTTGTCAATGTCATGAATGTGGGAAATTCACCAAGGAAAGCTGTGGG